AAACGTAGCGATAGCTGTTTAAAGTACCGGCAATGCGTACTAGAAGAGTGCTAGAGTGATATCCAATACGGCCCCCTAACATAATACCCGGTGCAGGACCAGTGTGGTGGTGCATAACGCAGCTGTTCAGCATCCTCTCTCCACGGTGTCTCCAGACTCGAATGCGACCATCGTACTTGATGCAATCGAACACGTTGGTCCGTCTTACCCTCCTGCATCCAACGATCACATATCCGCATTATACTTGTTTGGTTTCGTCCAACACGACTACTGATTTCCCTGAAAGATAATCCACAATCTCGGTCAGCCACTATCCTTCCTCTGTCGAACTCGGATTCTTGATCAAAAGATGATCACTGTTTTCTACGAGGCATAATTGATCGTTTTTTGAACTTGATTGAACAATTTCTGAATTTGAAATCGTCGAAACCTCCAAACAAATAGCGCTTTGAAGTGGAGCCACAGGCGTGCGTAATGTGCGTCTGAGCTGAAATTTTAATCATTTCCATATCTCACCTCCGCTAATGCATGTTGTAAATTTCATGTTATTTGCATGCTTCCCTCAGGGTGTTGCATTTACGGTGGCCAGCAGTGTATATCAAACTTTTTAAAAGTCTAAAGATCAAAGAATGTCTTTCGTCTATACCTAAGATATTCCTAAACACTAATTCCTAAGATATTTCCAAACACTGCTTAATCTTATATTAAAAACCCAATTATATGAAAATGGCAAATTTTTATTAAACTTTTAAGAAAAAAATTATCAGAATAAATCATTTCCAGCAATTTCTATTCCATATGATGCAATGCGAGAGAGACTAAATAATGCAACCATTTCTCGATATTACAGATTCTTATTAAAATTGAACCATCTAATCCAAATTGTAAAGAATTATTGCTATTTTTTATCTTATATAACTATTATTATTATTGTCGTTATTATTATTCATACTGTCAGGGATTACATCTATGAGATTTTAGCTTGAAGTAAATTTTAGTAAAATTTTCTAAGATTTCTTAATTAAGTTGATCTATAAAAATAGAATTTTCTAATTAGTTTCCCCTCATACAACTATTCTTATTATTGCCGTTATTATTATTTACACTGTCAGTGATTATATCTATGAGTTTTTAATTCATAGAAATTGTCGTAAAATTTTCTATGATTTTCTAATTAAATTGATCTATATAAATATAAATATTAATAAATTTTTTATTCAATTTCAAATGCTTTCTAAGAATAAATTGGATAATCAATGAACACACTATTGCCAACAACTTGAGAATGAGCAGACGAGATTCTTCAGAGCCAGAACTGGAGATTTACAAAAAAATATTTTTTTACATGCTGAGTAAAAACCTCATTTTTTTTTTAAACAGGCAGAAGATTAAAGTTTTCCCTCAACCCACCATAATTTCTAGATTTGTCTCTAATAGGTTGCTACTTATTTCAGCAATCAAATTCTATTTTTAGAAAAATCTTTATCATACAAGAAATTAATAAATACAGCTTTTTTGTCGTAAATCGAAAGTTTTCCGCAAAACTGCATTGTAAAATTCTTGTAAAAGTGTATCTAGGTAGATGGGATGCATTTTAATGAAATATGTTAAACTAATTTAAGGTTTTGTTATTTTCAAAATACTTCTTGTTTTAAAAGACACTCAATATAGAACAACCTAATATTTCCGAGCTCTTCGAAATATAAATACCGAACTTTATAATTGAAGAGGATTTTACAAAAAAAGTTGTTTAACAAATAATCAAACTCAATTGGGAAAATAATGATAATAAAAAGTTGTAAATACCGTAAATGAAGTGCAAACGCTTCAGATATATTAACTAATATATGACCATTTTAACTCTAGAAATAATTAAGATAATAGTGTACGATTACAATGTACCATACAATTGCATATATTACCAAAACGCGAGTCTTAGAAACTTACTATAATTGACAAAAATTGATTAAATAACTCAAGAAAATGTTGAAAATTTCCAAACAAACCCTAAAAAATCACTTAGAAATCAAGCAAAATATGAAGAAATATGACATGTAAATACATGAACAAATAAATTAAATTAAATTAAACAATGCATGAGAAATTCATGTAAAATACCTCAAAAAAATGAATAAAATTAAGTAAAAAATCTAAGTACACATGTACAAGTGAAATAAGTTATCTTTTTTATATGCTTTTACACGTCAATATGAAAAGCTTCTCAGATAATTCATGTTCTAGAACTACTAAACTCGTTAATCAAAAAAATTTTTCGGAAAATCAATTTGTAGTTGTTCTCTATTAGTTTTTATTAAGTTTTATTAATTAATTTAATAATTTTCATTAAAAAACTAGATTTTAAAGTTTTACATAGTTTCTTTAAAGTAAACATTTACATTTAAAGTTAATGTTTTCGTTATATTTATTTTCTATAATTCATATTTATTATAGCATATTGTTTTACGTTTATTACATATTTACAAATATTACACATACATTTATTATTTTATTTACTATTCATATTTATGGTTGTTCTAATTGTACCATATTTCTGTAATTCAATTTTAAGATATGAACGAAATTGGTTGGATATATCTCAAAAAGTAATAATTAAAAAATAGTAATGAAATTATAATTTGTAAATTGTTATTCCATGTTATTTGTTTATAATTTTTACTAAGAAAACGCATATTTTTACTAATTTCTCATGCATTTTATTAAAATTATTACTTTGTTTTCAATTTTATTTAGTTTTGCTCACAAAATAAAAACATTTCTCTCATATTTAACATTTTTTTTCTTTTTCTTTCGTATTTCAAAATATATTAAAATAGTCTATAGAAATCTAACTTTATTAAAAATTAAATTGGCCCTCTAAGGTGATTTGATAGATAAGTTCTTTATATAAAAATGAATAAATTTTACTCTCGGAAAAAAATTCGGACCAAAATTATCCTCTGTTAGGCGATGACATTTCAAGTAAAAAGACCATAATTCTGGTAATAAAATCAAAATACGATTATTGTTTTGGTAATTTTTCGTTCCATATGGTAACGGTTTATCGGAAACTATGGTTCTTGAAATCATAGTTTATTTTCTCTGGAAGTCTGGAAATTTAGCAAAAAATACAAAACTTAAAAGTAATTTTAACCGAGTAAATGGTTTTTATGCCATGTCCTAAGGTATCATGATAAAATTATCAAATTTAGCCACATTTACCAAATTTTATTACATATTTTAAAACTATATTTTATTGTCAATTTTAGCAAAATCATTACCAAAACGCTTATGTAAAAATTACTGAGCGTTTTTTATGCTCCCATAGAGCCAGAAATACGGTAAATTTTAATATATTCTAGTAGTTTTGACCATACGTTTTTTCGCAGTGTAATGAAGCAAAACTTAAAAAATAAAATTCTTATTTACATCCAATTCAATAAAATTCAAAAATGGATTCGTATTATTTCATAAAGGATTTCTTGAAGAAATTCTATGATAAAATTACAGTAATTCCTTTTTGATTAATTCAAAGAATGACTTCATGAATAGCAAAAACGGTATTTCAGTGACTATGTATTCGGAATATTTTTAATCTTACTATTTTTCTGTTTTCAACTTCTTAATAAATTGGTCAATACATTCAATTACATTCGGTCAGAACAATTTAAAAATTTCATTCTTTAAGTCGAACAACTAATGCAAGTAGAAGAAACGACAACAAAATTCCTTTTTAACCCTTTATAATGACTTAAAAAGTACACTTTGCACCAGCTTCATTAATTTTTAAAAGTTGGTGGGAAGCTATTTTACCACCTTTGATTTGTTCGACCAATTGCTGGTAACTAAATAAAATACGGGAAAAGGGGGACTCAACATAATTGTGGGTCACAAGGATTGTTTGAATGGGGTCGAGAAGACAGGCCAACACTGGAGAGTTATTTCTTTTGTGTGTTACGTGTTCGTTTTTTTAACTATTCCTCAATTAGTTTATTTGCAATTATAAACACAGAATTTGCAAACTCGTTTGCTTATAAGAAAATTCGTGGCTTCTTATGGTAGGTAAGAATTTGAAATCCCCACCCACCTTTCTACCAGGAAAATTGTCTTAAAAATCAAATTAATTTTAGGTATAAGGCTAAATGAATTTCTTTTAAAATCTATCTCACTTCCAAAAATATTTTAACCTAACATTTATAGGAAAAAAATGGCCGCACAAAGATTGAAAAAAAAGTAGTAAATAAGGAATACACTTTATTAAATTGCAAAAAAATATCGTTTGATTGCTTTTAGAGCTTCCACAAATTATTACTCAAACATTCTAAACCAAAAAATTATGGCCTTTATTACTTGATCAAAAATTTCATTTGCTTCAAAAATACAGAAAATGGAACTAACAGTCGAAATATTTTGAGCACTTAAAAACGGGCACCCATTTTCAAGAGTTGCCAAGGGTGACTGAGACGAGGAGAAAGGAGAGCTCGAAACATGTCGACTGTTATTTCCAATTGGCATATTTTTGAAGCATATGTAGTTTTTAATCAAATAAATTTCTATTTGCTTTTAAAGCATAAATTGTGGGAACAGAAAAGAAATTTTTTTGTTGCATAAGGAAATTTTTTTCGTTGCACATATGTTTTATACGTGTAAGAAATTTTCTGAACTGAAGAAACTTCTGAGCAAGCAAGTTATCACCGAATGAAAATGTTTACTAACAATTGCGAATATAAAAAGTATAAAGAAAGTCAGTTTTATTTTTTTGTTTGTAATAATCCAGAGTGTCTTATAAATTTTGATTTTCTTAAGCAGTTTTAAGGTACATATCATTTCGATTTTTTTTTTCATTTTTCGTCCTTTTGACATGTATGGGTGCAAGATTATTTTTTCGCATTACATTTGATAAAGAATGTTTTTGTGTGCTATATTTGATTTATAAAAATTTGAAAATATTTATATACTTTAACAATGTTATTAATAAACTTTATCATTATGTTCTTTAATAGCATTGTGCCTCAAAATGAAAGAATTAGCCTTTTGCTTGGACTTAAAGCTAGTGGTTTTGTTTATGATGGCTTTTGAAGCTATACATGCATGCTGTCATTACTATCCTGTATATTATCCAGTGCATGTTGGAGGGTAAGTGTAATCTACAGCAAATTTTATATTTTAAAATAATTGTTTTTTGAATAAATTTTCACTTTACTAATTGGCAAAATAAGTTAATCCCTCTACAATGTGTTAAATAAGCATTTAAAAACCTTTAGTTAAGAAGCTTTAAAAAAATTTATATTTTATAAAAACATTTTCTTGATTTAGTGGGAAAAAACATATACATATACATATGAAAAATAATCATCACCACCATCATCATCACGGTCACGAACACGGACATCATCATCATCATGGACACCACCACGGACATCACCACCAACATGGACATCATCACGGGCATCATCACCATCACGGTCACCACCACGGACATCATCATAATCACGGGCATCATCACCATCATGGACATCACCATGGACATCATCATGGGCATCATCATGGTCATCACCATCATCACGGGCATCATCATGGTCATCATCACCATCACGGACACCACCATGGGCATCATCATGGACATCACCACGGTCACCACCATGGTCATCATCATCACCATGGTCATCACCACGGTCACCACCACGGTCACCACCATGGGCATCACCACGGACACCATCATGGACACCATCACGGTCATCACCATGGGCACCATCACGGGCATCATCATGGTCATCATCATGGCCATCATCATGATAATCATCATGGTCATCATCATGGACACCATCATGGCCATCATCATGGACATCATCATGGCCATCATCACGGGCATCATCATGGCCATCATCATGGTCATCACCATGGTCATCATAAATAGATTTATTTGGACAGGATTATACGTTACCTTATTGATTTTTATGGAAAATATAGTTATTATGACATTAATAAAAAATTATGTTATTAATAAGGCTTTTTTGTATTTTTGTATTTGTATAATCAATCATAACTTTCTCTTAAAGTTTCTTTGACGTGTTTAAGTTCATTTAGTTTTTATACTTATGCAAATTAAAATTATAATTTATGTAGATCCTGATAAATAAATGAATCCATTAATTAACCATGTAACCCATCTTAACATCAAGATTTTAAAATATATACTAAAGTATATTTACCTTATTTTAATTTGCATTTCTCTACTCTTGCTCTAAACTTTTGAGACAGATTAGCATTATCACTATGGGAATTTAGCATTTCGCTGGGAACAAGTTCCGAGATTAATGTCATGAAGCAATGATTTCGAACATTTTGAACTGCTGAATTACTTCATGTAAACTAAACTTATGTTTGAACAAGTTTTGAAATTTGTACATTCTCTTAAGAACATCACATGACGTGAACAAAAGAACAAAACATGAAGAGAATTGTATCTAGAATTAAACGATTTCCGATTTTTTTTTTACCATCTAATTGGAATTAGTTTTGGATTGCTTATCGTGTGGGCTACTGTTTTCATTTTCTTAGGGGAGTAAAAAAAGTAGCAGACATTATGGTAAAAGCTATGTGAAATTTTCATCGTAAAATTTTGCGATTGACGTAAGTTCTTAATATTTCTGTAACACAATATAAAATTGCCCCAAAATTGTTGATTTATTACTTCTACCATTTGTCCTACATATATTTTCCTCTGAAATTTTCTACAGGATTATTATCGGGATTATTATTAAATCTCTCAATAAAAAAATATTTCCTGCATTTGAATGGCACTTTTGAAATATTTTTGTAAGCAGTCTATAGCATTTTGTTTGATGTTACTAAATACATATCCTTAAGATCCCTCATGAAAATCTGTCCCGACACCATTCTTGCTAATTTTTGTGTAAATTGAATTCGTGTGTTAGAATAAAATCCTATTTTCCCCCCCGGCGGAACCGCTTAAAAATAACGTAAGCACCTCACTGGATGTACAGGTTTTGTGATTTGCTTATTTTTACGGACAAGAGATAAGACGTATGAGATAAGCTTACGTAAGGCATTAAATTCACCTTATTTCAATATCCTTATTTTAAATTTTAAAAAAAGAAACAAAAAACTTCGTAAAAAATTACATTTTTTCCTTTTTAAATTTGGGGCATGTCAATTCTATATGGATATTGTGTGTCAATGGAAGCAAAAAATATGTTTTGTAAAACAAATTACGATTTATTTTAAAAGTTTTGATTTCAAATCATTTTTTTAATTCTTAAATTTATTTCAACTTTAAACAAAATGAATATTTATAAGGATGAAAAGCAACAATAAGCCTTTTAAACTAATAGAAGAGTAAACACGGAAAAGCGTTATTAATTTATATTTCTTTTCAACATTTTTATAGCAGAATTTTTCATTTAACAGTAGTGAACAAAAATGTCACAGAAACACTTTTTTCACTATAATGGAAATAATATCTCAGATAAAAGATTTGGAATTGATAAGAAAATTTTGTTTCTCACCAAATGCACAATATGAAAAAATTATGAAGCGCTAACTTAAATTCACGTAATCCTATCATTATTCAATATTTTTATTGAAAAGAAGCAACGAAAAAAAACTCAACCATTGAACTGTAAATCAAGGAAAAGTATTATTCCTTCGGACTACAAATATAATACGGTACAGAAATAAACAAAATATGACGAAGACACTACGTTATGAATCACAAAGTGTCAACAATTCTAATCTACAGGATCAAATAATAGTTTCTTTTTAGTTTTGGGAGAGGGTACAGCGGCCCGTAGGGCGAGGAGAAACTTTGAGAAAAATGTCCCGATGACATCAGAATGGATAATTCTTATTATCATTCGTGGTTTAAACTTTTAAAATAAACACTGCAATAATAATTTCTTTCTGACATTCAATTAGAGGAAGATTTTAAATCGTAATTTTTTGTACGTACAATGTGAGTTGTTTGGAAGTAAATAAAATTGCAGTTCCTGAAAACAAAGCTTTAATAAATTTAGTAAATTTTGTAACCAAATCAAGTTTTGTTCTAAGCAGAAATATAAATGACTGCAAGCAGTTATGACTAACTTTTGGAAGAAACCGTTTAACTCAAGTAATCACAAGTATGATTCTAGTGATAATGCGGTGCAATCTTGATATGACTCATTACTTAATTGCAAATAACAAAATAATGTTGATTGCATATAATATCATGCTATAATAAGCCAAAATTACTTGTCACTGCTATGTCTCAATCTTGCATTTCGTGAAATCTTTTAGTACTTAATCAACATATTATTAAATATTGATTTTCGTCAAACTATATGTTTTACATAAATCGCAAGAAAAAGTAATCAATGCAGTTGATTTGGAGACTTATAATATCATTGTTTATTATTATGCTTACTTGATTGATAGCAATAAAGATGACACTTACTCATGAACCGCTGTTGATTTTCAAAATGATGTGTGTTCGATTCAATTAATACTCTCGTTTCCTTAAATGTTTTTTCTTTAAATTTTCCTCCTTTAATTTAATATTTGAATAAACAAGCTTCAATCTTTGTAATGACATTTATTTTTTCTTTTAGTTTTATTTTCTAAAATAAGCGATGAGAGAACCTACGGATGTTATGTTGGAAAGCATTCTTTATAGTACACATACTAAATATAATTTTAAAATGAATAGTCAATGATAAATAATTATCGCAAACAGATGTGAAAACAAAATGAGTATACATCAGTAATAACAAAAAATAAAACAATTCTAAGGCTTAAAACTTAAGTATAGAAAATGTGTAATATATGTAATCATCGTTATTCGTTTAAGCTATCAAAGAGAGAAAGTTTTCATAATGAACAATGTGTACAGGATTGCGCATAATACATTTTAATCAAGGTTTTACAGTGAACAGTCACCATTACCATTCATAATAATAACAATAATAATCATAGATTCATTTATACAAAAATCATTTGAAATTAGTCTTTATAAAATCTCACTTAACGTTTAAGTGATGAAAAATTGCTTTATCATAGCTTAACGAATCATAAGTTCAATCACCGTAAAAGTGTAATCAAATGCAGTGTAACTGAAAACAATTACCAATAACTTCTACAATGTAAAAAATTCTGGATCAAATTACGGTAAAAAGTTCCGGCACTCGGGGTGTCGGTACTTTTAAGTCGGTACTTACAGAATTTATCGTAAAATCACTGAATCACTGTAATTAAATAAATATTATTGAAACAATTATTGTCCAATATTTTATGGTAAGAATGGATTTTACGGTAAAATAGATTTTACGGATGATCCACCCAAAGTGCCAGTACTTTATACTGTAAGTTGATCCAGAATTCTTTAAAGTATTACAGAATTACAGAAATTGTTTTTAGTAATTTTTATTCTTTTTAACAAAAAGAATAAAAATTAATCGAAACAATTTTTACTTTCAACTGACAACTGAATTGCGTTTTATCATATTTGATCACCTTTTCTGTAAATGATTATAATGATTCCGAAATCTGTGATAATGATTTAATTATTTTTGCTTAATTAAATTCATTTACGGATAGATGTTTTTTTACAAGAATTCTAAATATACATATTGAGAATGATTATTATGAAAATTTTGCTTCACGTAGGAGTTTGTATTGAATTTTTTATTATTTAAATGAATAACTCAAAATCCAAAGCATTTTCTTTAAAAGTCTAATTTTTGGCATTTTTTTTAATCAACTAAAAATCATAAGCTAAATTAAAATTTTCCTAAATACAACAGAAATGACTTTTGTAATAAACATGCTGTTAAATAATTAAGTAAATCAGATGAAAAGTACACAAAAGTTATCATGTCTGTGCGAATGAAAAACGCTGCTATAAATTTTTTTAAACTTGTTTCATCCTTAAGTGCATTAATACAGAGGTTGTTGTATCATTCATATTTGTCATATATGAGTCTAAACTTATAGTTTTGGGACACTGTCATTAATTTTCGAATTTTTGTTTTTAAAATAATTCGTTTCAACCGTTCATTACCTTACTATAACTCTTTCTTTTTTAGATAAACAGCATGGCAAAAACTAGTATTTGTACTGACGGTTTTAATCCGTTTAAGATTTGGATGAATAACAAAGTAAAACCATTTTGTCAGCAAAACAACTTTAAGCTATCTTATACGCAGAGAAAATCTGTAAAAAGAACGGGAAATTTTTACGGTGAGCGGATAACGGATAAAAACAGAAAAAAATTTAGATTTTTCTTTAAACAGTTTTTTTTCTGTGAAAAATATTTTTTTCCTCTGAATTCACAGTTACTTTTACAGTGTCTAAAAATAATCATCGAAAACTTCAAAAAGCAAAAGGCTCGAAGTATAGTAAGTATAAGGGACATATTCTATAGTTTAATTTAAAATATTATTGTAAAACA